AGGGGAGAAGTGTGTGTGTGTGTGTGTGTGTGTGTGTGTGTGTGTGGACAGTGTGACGTCTCCTCAGGTTTGCCACACTGCTGCCCTGACCTAACTGTATGGCCACAACCCTGTCCCCTCGAGTCTTGCCCGCCCCCTCAACTCCGGTCCTTCTTCCCTCATCCTTTCACCCTCCTCCTCTTCTAACCTCATATCCTTCTCTCAAATTAATTCCCAAATTTTTTCTTCCCTTTTCCATCTTAATTTCTTCTCCATCTCACTCTTTCCCTTCCTTCCTTCCACTTACACCCTCTAGTAACCTTCCTTCACCTACACTCTCTGGTACCCTCCCTCTCTCCCACCTACACTCTGGTACCCTCCCTCCACCTACACTCTCTGGTACCCTCCCTCCCACCTACCACTCTCTGGTACCCTCCCTCCCACCCCTACACTCTCTGGTACCCTCCTCCCACTACACTCTCTGGTACCCTCCCTCCCCACCTACACTCTCTGGTACCATCCCTACCACCCACACTCTGTGCCCTCCCTCCCACCTACACTCTGGTACCCTCCCCTCCCACCTACACTCTGGTACCCTCCTCCCACCTACACTCTCTGTGCCCCATCCCTACCACCCCACACTCTAGTACCCTCCCTCCCCCTTACACTCTCCTGGTACCCTCCCTCCCTACCTCTCCTGGTACCCTCCCTCCCACCCACACACTCCTGGTACCCTCCTCCCACCCACACACTCTGGTACCCTCCCTCCCACCCCTCTAGTGCCTCCTCCCTCCCTACCTCTGGTACACCTCTGGTACCCTCCCTCCACCCTCCCACCTACCTCCTCTGGTACCCTCCCTCCTCCCCTCCCCTCCCCACCTCCACTCTCTAGTACACTCTCCCAGTACCCTCCCTCCCACCCACACTCTGGTACCCTCTCTCCCTCCCCTTACACTCTGTTGCCCTCCTCCCCTCCTCCCACCTACACTCTGGTACCCTCCCTCCCTCCCTACACCCCAGAGCGAGGAGCGCCTACCCCCCACAACAAGCAGCGAAACACTAACCTTCCTCTCCTGCTCCACCTGATTACCCTCCTCCCCCCACACACTCTCCCCATCCTTCACCAAACAGACACACACTTAACGCTCCCACCCACATCAGTGACACACTCCCACACCTCCCATCTTCCACACCCCACCACACACACACTACCTCCTCCACACACTCCATATACTACCCCTCTTCCTTTACACACACACACCTCCCCCCTCCTCCACACACTCCCTTACACTACCCCTCTTCTCACACACACACACTCCCCGTCTCCCCCACACAAGCTCTCCTACACATCCCCCCACACACAAACGCCCCCACACCCCTCTCCCCACACACACAAGCTCCCCATCCTCCCCCTCCCCACACAGAGCGAGACCTGGTTATGATAATGACTCACTGGAGGAACACAAGGATGGTCTCCTCCTGTATTGTGATGCAAAGTGATGGCCGCCGCTCATACTCTTACGACTTTAATTAAGATGTGCTCACCACTGTAACCTGAACCATCCTACTGTAATATATCTCCTTTGACCTGTTACAGTGTGTTGGGGAGGAGGGGTGTGTTGGGGAGGAGGGGTGTGTTGGGGAGGAGTGGTGAGAGGTGTTTGAAGAGGTATTTGAGGAGAGGTGTTTGAGGGAAGGGAGTGTTGAAAGGTATTCGAAGAGGTATTCAGAAGAAGGTGTTGTTGAGAGGTAATGTGGTAAGGAAGAGGTATTTAAGGTGTTCAGGAAGAGGTGTTGGGGAAGAGGTGTTAGAGAGGTGTTAAGGAGAGGTGTTGGGAGAATTGTTGGGGAGAGGTGTTGAGAGGGTGTTGGGGAGAGGTGTTGAGAGGGTGTTGGGGAGAGGTGTTGGGGAGAGGTGTTGAGAGTGTTGAGAAGTGTTGAGAGGTGTTGAGAGGGGTGTTAAGGAGAATTGTGTTGGGGAGAGTGTGTTAGAGAGGGTGTGTTTAGGAGGGTGTGTTTGGGAGGGGTGTGTGTGTGTGTTGGGGAGGAGTGTGTTGGGGAGGGGTTTGTTGGGGAGCAGGGGTGTGTTGGGAAGGGACGTGTATGTGTGTTTGTGTGTGTTGGGGAGGGGTGTGTGTGTGTGTGTTTTGTGCGTGTGTGCCAAAGTTCACCCATCTTATAAAAGGTCTGGTGATACAGGTCTTTTCAAGAATTACCGCCCCATATCAGTCCTCCCAGCTTTAAGTAAGATACTGGAGAAGCTAGCATGTACTGTAGTAGACTAAATTCCCTCTGGAGTGTCAATAACATCTTTACGGACTCTCGTTTTCGATTTAGAGCTAGAAGGTCAACTGAGAGTGATCTACTATCCTTTACTAATGACATCTTAAACTCCTTTGATGACAGTCAGTTCACAGTCGGTATATTCCTGGACCTCTTTAAAGCCTTTGATACTGTCGACCAGAACCTTCCTCCTGGCAAAGGCTGAACATTACTATTATCAACTCTGTATCTGTATTTTTCTGGCTAAATAAACTGTTTCAATATTAAATATCATTATCAATTTTATTTTGTGTACGTCTCCATATTCACACAAGAAAAACAGCAACACCCCTTGTCAATATAACCAAGCCTCTACTCCCACAAGCTCCTTCGCGATCATCACATTTCCAACACAGACAAAACCCCGAAGTTACCACAACCCGTCATTAGTCATTTCTTGCCTCTCTCCTACCCTCATCTAGAGCACCCCCCCCCCTTCCCCCCGTATTTATTACCTTCTCTGTGCTCCAAATGCCTTCTCGACCATTGTATCTCTTCCTCTATTGTCCAGAACTACGATAAATAACATCTATATTGTCTCCAGCTTTACTACTCCCGTCTTCAATGTAGTAAGTCTGCTTCATTAAAAAGTTCACCCACAGCGATAAATCCAAGCCTGTGTTCCCCATGCCATCTAGATCAATGTTTTCTGTGAACTAATGACCTGAATTACTGTACAATAATCCGGAGGTTATCCATCTCTGTCTCTCTCTCTGTCTCTCTCTCTCTCTCTCTCCCTCTTTCTGTCTCTCTCTTCCTGTCTCTCTCTCACCACACGTCTTCTGCTCTATTGTTTTATATTTTTTTTCTTCCCACCATTGTCCTGAACTACGACACACAAGCCCTGGGTCAGCACGTTTACTCCAGGCCCCACCCTCTGCCATACCTCACAGCCGGGGCAGTTAACTCATCCCCAACACATCATTGTGGTCAGACCTGCCCCTAGTGCCTTTATACACCAGTGTCACGCGCGCCTCCAGACCACACACAACTCTCTTCTCAGCCTCCACCTGGACCTTCTTTTTGGGTGTAAGACAATGCCTGTCTTCAGAAACAACGTGGGTACTAGTTAGACCTAGAAAGACGTAAAGGATTTAGATGCAACGAGATGTCAGGACCGTTTAGTAGGTTTCAGTGCATTTCTGTTGTGGTTAAGTCACCGTATAATGACCCAAGAGAGTGAGGCGGCCGAGTGTATATAACGCTCGCCTTCTATTCTAAAGGTTGCTGGTTCGATCCCTTGCCACTCCCTGACCATCCAGGAGTAAATGGGTACGTTTACGAATTTGGGGAAGTGTGTGCGGAAGTTTAAGTACTGTGCAGTATGTACTATGTTGTACTCTAACTGTCCCTAACGAGCATCCATACCTGTGGGATCCTCTTCATTTTCATAATGACATATACGCGGAAATCACAGGACCTTAAAGACTTTTCCTGCTTCTGTGTTGTTGTTTCTCGGGTAAATTGTTTGACTTTGTACATGAATCGGATTTCATCTCACCCATGCCACAGATCGATCCTTCGCTACACAACCAGCTGATGTAGGTAAACAAATAAACAACGCCAATATTACAATTTTCACCCCCGTCTGGGCTTTTTGCCGTCAGCTGTGTATAAAGGTGAAGGAAACGACACACTGGGAGAATTTCTGTCTCTGGAATGCACTAAAAGGTTAATATAATTTTCATGGGGCATTATAAGTGGGATTATGACAGGGATAGACTTCCGGGACTCTCTCTCTCTCTCCTTCCCTCTCTCCCCTAAGGCCGGGGTATAACGAGGTGTCTTGCTCGGTCTAGTAATAACAGGGTGAGTGTACGTGTGTAATGGTCGGCTGTCTGGTGGTGGTGAAGGTGGTGGTGGTTAGTGGTGGTGGTTAGTGGTGGGTGCTAGTGGTGGTGGGTGTTAGGTCGTTGTTGTTGTTGTTGTTGTTGGTGGTGGTGGTGGTGGTGGGTGGGTGTTATGTTGCTGGTGGTGCGTGTTAGTGGTAACAGTGATCAGGTAGTAGTGGTAAAATGGTGGTGTGGTGGAATTGTGGTGATGGTGAGGTGGTGATAGTGAGGTGTGGTGATGGTGAGGTGGTGATGGTGAGGTGATGGTGTGGTGATGGTGAGGTGATGGTGGTGTGGTGATGGTGAGGTGGTGGTGGTGTGGTGATGGTGAGGTGGTGGTGGTGTGATGATGGTTGATTTTACTTTAATTTGCAGCAGATAGAGGCTAGTTTATTGTGCACCCCATAGTCATCCGGTGAGCAATAGCACAAAAAAAAATAAAAAAGATAACCACAAACAGTTTAAATAACGGAACAGAGTGCCGTCAGTGTGGTGATAGGGACATCATTGTGGTGACAGTAACGTCAGTGTGGCGATAGTGACGTAAGTGTGGTGATAGTGGTGTCTGTGTGGTGATAGTGGCCTCAGTGTGGCGATAGCGGGGTCAGTGTGATGATAGTTGTGTCAGTGTGGTGGCAGTGATGTCAATATGGTGATAGCGGTGTCAATGTGGTCATGGTGGTATCAGTTAAGTCATTGTGACGTCAGTGAAGTGGTAGTGACGTCAGTGTGGTGATAGTGGCGTGTGTGATGATAGTGGCCACAGTGTGATGATATCGACGTCAGTGAGGTGAATGTGATGATCGTGATGTTAGTGTGGTGACAGTGCTGGCAACGTAGCGAGATGTCAATATGGTGATAGTGACGTCAATGTGGTAATAGTGGTGGCAATGGGGGTAGTGGCGGCAGCATAGGGATAGTGGCGGCAGCATGGGAGACAGGTCGCGGCACGATGGAGGGTAGTGGCAGCAGCATGGGGCAGCGGCAGGGATGGGACAGAAGTGGCGGCAGCGTGGGGGATGGCAGCGGCAGGGGGGCGGTGGTGGCGGTGATTGGCGGCAACGCATGGGAAAAGTGGCGGCAGCATGCGGTAGTGGCGGCATCGTGGGGGTAGTGGCGGCAGGCGTGGGGTGGTGTGGCGGCAGCATGGAGCGGTGGCGGCGGCAGAGATGGTGGCGGTGGTGGCGGCGGCATAATAGTGGCGGCATCGTGGGGTGGTGGCGGCATCGTGGGGGTAGTGGCGGCATCGTGGGGGTGGTGGCGGCGGCGTGGCGGGCGGCGTGGAAAGTGGCGGCGGCGTGGGGGTAGTGGCAGGGAGCGTGGGGTGGTGGCTGCGGCGTGGGGGTGTGGCGACAGCGTGATGGTAGTGGCGGCAGCCTGGGGTGATGGCGGCGTGGGGGTGGCGGCGGGGGGTGTGGCGACGGCGATGGCGATGGCGGCGGGTGGCTGATGGCGACAGCGTGATGGCAGTGGCGGCGGCGTGAGGGGTGAGTGGCTGCGGCGGGGGGTGGTGGCGGCGGCGTGGGGTGGTGGCGACGGCGTGATGGGCAACGTGGTGGCGGCGTGGATGGCGGTGGTGGCGTGGCGGTAGTGGCGGCGTGATGGCGTGAGCGTGGGGTGTGGCGAGCGTGATGGCGGTGGCGGCAGCGTGGGGTAGTGGCGACAGCGTGACGGCAGTGGCGGCGGCGTGGGGGTGGTGGCTGCGGCGTGGGGGTGAGTGGCTGCGGCGTGGGGTGGGGTGAGTGGCGCACGTGGGGGTGGTGTGGCGACGGCGTGGGCGGTGGGCTGCGGCGTGGGGGTGGTGGCTGCGGCGTGGGGTTGGTGGCTGCGTGGGGGTTGGCGGCGCGTGGGGGTAGTGGCGACGGCGTGAGGTGGCGACGCGTGGCGACGCGTGGTGGGGTGGCGACGTGGGGTGATGGCTGCGCGTGGGGTGGTGGCTGCGGCGTGGGGTGTGGCTGCAGCGTGGGGTTGGTGGCGGCGGCGTGGGGTGGGGCGTGACGGCGTGACGGCAGTGGCGACGGCGTGGGGGTGGTGGCTGCGGCGTGGGGTGGTGGTGCGGCGTGGGGGTGGTGGCGACGTGGGGCAGTGGCGGCAGCGTGGGGTGGTGGCTGCGGCGTGGGGGTGTGGCTGCGCGGCGTGACGGTGAAGCAGCGTGGAAATAGATGGCTGCGGCGTGGGGTGGTGGCTGTGTGGGGGTAGTGGCGACAGCGTGACGGCAGGTGGGCGCAGCGTGAGTGGTGTGGCTGCGGCGTGGGGGTGGCTGCAGCGTGGGGGTGGTGGCGTGAGCCGGCGATGGCGGCGTGCGTGGCGGCGGCGTGAGTGTGGGGCTGGGCGTGGGGGTGATGGCGACGGCGTGGGGTGATGGCGGCACAGCGTGACGGGTGGCTGCGCAGCGTGGGGTGTGGCTGCGGCGTGGGGTTGGTGGCGGGGTGGCGGCGGCAGGGGGGTGTGGTGGAGTGGTGGCGGCATGGGGGTGGTGGTGGCGGCATGGGGGGTGGTGGTGGCGGCATGGGGGTGGCGGCGGCATGGGGGTGGTGGCAGCATGGGGGTAGTGGTGGCAGCATGGGGAGTGGTGGCAGGCATGGGGGTGGCATGGGGGAGTAGTGACAGCATGGGGGTAGTGACGGCAGCATGGGGGAGGGAGGGGGGTAGTGGCGCCAGAATAAGCTACACATGGCAGCGTCTTGCACGATTCTCACTATAATACTGCCTTAAGGTTGTGTAATCGAGGTTAGGTCTTGACCCCCAGCTCTCTATTGATGAACTCCTGGGGTGAGAGAGAGAGAGAGAGAGAGAGAGAGAGGCTGTGTGTCTGTGTAGAGAAGAATAAAAGATACAAAAAAGAGGAGACGATAAAAAAAAATTCTTTACCTTATAAAAATAAAATTCCAAAAACAAGACAAAAATGAACTCAGAGAAATTAAATCATTTTAGCGCTAAACACAATTTTACACGTAATACCAAAAATGAAAATATAGAAATAAAAAGAGATCATGGTAGAAAAAGATTAAATTCTCAACTACAATATTGCTGTCGACATAAATTCCCAGCATTAGTCACTGCGATTTCCACCTTCATGATCACCACAAGGGCAAGATGCTCACCACCCGTCGCTCTCCGGGTAATAGGAATGTTGCTTAAAGATTTGGTCTTTATTAGAATTTGTATTGGGTGCTATTGTAAGAGGTCGGATAAATAGACCCTATTAGCCTAGCCTAACCTAACCTGACTTATTCCAACCTAACATAACCTAACGTAACATAACCTAACCTAACTTAAACTAACCTAACTAAAATCTAATTGACCTAACTTAACCTGAATTAATCCAACCCAACATTGCCTTGCCTAAATTAACCTAACCTGAATTAATCCAACCTAATCTAGCCTAGCCTAACTTAACCAAAACCTAACCTATTCAAACATAATCCAATTCCATCAAACCTAACCTGACTTAATCCAACCCAATCCAGCCTAACCTAACCTAACCCTAGCACCGCTGAACACCATCTGCCCTGAACGAACCAAACAGGGATACATACTTAAGTCTGCCAGTGTTTATTTTGGTTTAGTCTTGGTATAATCAGGCTATACGAACTATTTGCCGTTTTCTAAGTCTAGTTAAAGCCGTAATCCACATGCTACACCTCACCGGACTGCTTGCTACATAACACCAAACTACATTCTACACCACACCGGACTATATTCTACACCCTAATCAAAAAGTATTCGTGAAAATATAGAAAATATCGAACTATGAAGACGATCCATGTTTACAAAAACAGTAAAAAAAAAAAAAAAATATTCTTAAAAAAATAAAAATAAAAAGATAATAAAATGGAGAACAAAATACTTCAACTAATGACAAATAAAATCTCACGTTACGATCTTTAAGACAAAACAATTGAATAAAAACAACAGTAAATAAAACGAATGTGAAAAACGACAAAAAAATACCTTGACTATGTTTACGTGTCAGCCATATAGTACGTGACTGGCGTTAACAAGGCTCGAGTACCATAATACAACAGAATGAGGAAAGATATAATGGCTAATGGGAGGTAATAGGAGTAGCTCTACAACCTATTATTGGAGGATTCTTAAGACCCGATCACTGTAACTACTTCATAACTACTTCCTCTTCCTTCACACACACGACAAATGAGGACCTGTTCAGACACGCACAGAAAATACTACAGTGTTACCATCAACTGCGCCTATATAACCCACAATCAATAGTAATTTATCCTACCTTATTTATCCTTTACCTGAAAACTCATGAGCGAGCATTAATTAGGCAATTATATTATTTAATCGATCCTAACCTACGACTGGAGCGCGGGGGTCGAGTGGAGACAGGGGTAGTAAGTAGTTCGATCCCAGGGCGCTCCCAGTTCACCCAGCTGTAAATGGGTACCTAAGTTTAGTAGAGTGCAGTACCGGTCATGCTGCCCCCTTGTGTACCGAAGGCTTAGTATACACACTATGTTGTATCCACACTGTGCGTAACGGACCTATGGGACCCACTTTCACCTTTTTTTCATCTATGACTAAGACTCCAATGAATGTCTCTAGATTCCACTGATGCAATAGTCATATTATTAAAATTTAAGCACTATTGACTATTTTTATGTACAGTATTTCTACACATTATGACGAGCGGGTCAATTAATTAAAAAAAATATAGAGTAATGCATGCGGCGATTAGCCTTAGCTTTCATTATTAATCTCTTGAGAATGATGACCTTGAGTACAATAAATTAACCCCTTGAATACATGACCTAAACGATGACCCAAGCGATGACTTACGTCCTGGAATAGGATGACGTGACCTCACGAGTCCTCGTACTCATAAGGTTTACTGGTGACATGAGAGCGGTTTCCTAACAAGTAAGAGGTCTCGTGGCAACTTGGAGCGGTTATATGACGAATTACAGTGGTTTCCTAGCAACTGTGAGCGACTCCGTGACAAGTCTGAGCGGTTTCCTGACGACTGTGTGCAATTTCCTTTTGACTTCGAGATCCCCTAAAGGACTCGGCACAATTTCAAGACAACTTGATGCCGGATTTCCAACAATTCCACGCCGGTTAACTAACGACTGTTCGCGGTTTTCTGGGTTATTCGCGCCGATTACTGACGATCTTACTCGGGATTTCAGTTACCCGCAAATACTGAAGTGAAGGTAATTTCCGGATTAACCACTCACTTCATCTGTTATAATCATGAGAGATAAAACAATGCCCTTTTAATTTGTTTGTGGGTGATGGGTGTGTGGGAGAGAGGAGTGAGTGGTAATGGGGGAAGGTCGGCGATTAGGGAAAGGTAAAAAGGGTGAGTGGGGAATGAATGGGTAATGGGAAGAGATGGGAGGTGGTGGGGGAGGAGATGGGTGATTAGGGGCAGGTGACAGAGGTGGGTGGGGTGTAAATGGTATATGGGGGAGCACGTGGGATATTATGGAAAGGAGAGAAAGGTGGAAAGGACGCAGGGGAGGAAGGAAGGAGGTGAAGAATTGGTGGAAGGGGAGATAGATAGATGGTTGAGGGACAGGTGAAGGGAAGGGGAGATACAAGAATGAAAGGGGGGACAGGGTGGGTGTGGAGGGAACAAGGGTCAAGTGGAGGGAAGGGGACTGTGTGGAGGGAGGAGGACTGTGTGGAGAGAAGGGGACTGTGTGGAGGGAAAGAGGTTGTGTGGAGGGAAGGGGACTGTGTGAAGGGAAAGAGGCTGTGTGGAGGGAAAGGGGCTGTGTGGAGGGAAGGGGTCTGTGTGGAGAAGGGGACTGTGTGGAGGGAAAGAGGTTGTGTGGAGGGAAGGGGACTGTGTGAAGGGAAAGAGGCTGTGTGGAGGGAAAGGGGCTGTGTGGAGGGAAGGGGTCTGTGTGGAGAAATAAAAAGATAATGTGGAGAGATTAAGAGATGGAAGTCGCACATTAGTTGTATGAGGGGATGAGACACAGTGTGTAAGGGTGAGGGGCGATGTGGAGTGTGGAGGGGTGATGTGGATGGGTGTTCGGTAACGGTGGAGAGGTGATGGGTAAAGGTGGAGAGGTGATGGGTAACGGTGGAGAGATAATGGGTAACGGTGGAGGCGTGATGGGTAAAGGTGGAGAGGTAATGGAGGTGTTCGGTAACTGTGGAGAGGGGTGATGGGTAACGGTGGGAGAGGTGGATGGTGGAAGGTGGAGGGGTGATGTGGAGGGGTGTTCGGTAACCCAGGAGAGGTGATGGGTAACGATGGAGAGATGGGTATGGGTAACGGTGGGAGGGGGTGATGTGGGTAACAGTGGGAGGCGTGATGGGTAAAGGTGGAGAGGTAATGGGTAACAGGAGGCGTGATGGGTAACGGTGGGAGAGGGGTAATGGGTAAACAGGAGGCGTGATGGGTAAAGGTGGAGAGGTAATGGGTAACAGGAGGCGTGATGGGTGAAGGTGGAGAGGTAATGGTAACAGGGAGGCGTGATGGGTAAAGGTGAGAGGTAATGGGTAACGGTGGGAGGGTGGAGTGGGTAACCTGTGGGAGGGGTGGGATGGGAGGGGTGTTTGGTAACCTGGTGGAGAGGTGATGGGTAACGTGGGAGAGGATGGGTAACGGTGGAGGCGTGATGGGTAACGGTGGAGGTAATGGGTAACGGCAGGAGAGATACGGGGTAACGGTGGGAGAGATAATGGGTAACGGTGGAGGCGTATGGGTAACGCAGGAGGCGTGATGGTAACGGTGGGAGAGGTGATGGGTAATGGTGGGAGGTGGGGATGGGTACTGTGGAGGGGTGAGTGGGTAACGGTAGTAATGGGCAATTGTGGAGGCGTGATGGGTAACAGGAGGGGTAATGGGCACGGTGAGGGGCATGGGTAACGTGGGAGGTAATGGTGGCCTGTGGGAGGTGAGTGGGTAAAGGTGAGAGGTAATGGGTAACGGTGGGTAATGGGTACTGGAGAGGTATGGCAACGGTGGGAGGGTAATGGGTAACGGTGGAGAGGTAATGGGTAAATGGTGAGGGCACGGGTAACCAGGAGGAAGGGCAATTGTGGGAGGGGTAATGGGGTAACGGTGGAGGGGTAATAACGCAGAGGGGTAATGGGTAACCAGAGAGGTAATGGGTAACGGTGGAGAGGTAATGGGTAACGGTGGAGAGGTAATGGGTAACGGTGGAGAGGTAATGGGTAACGGTGGAGAGGTAATGGGTAACGGTGGAGAGGTGATGGGTAACGGTGGAGAGGTAATGGGTAACGGTGGAGAGGTGATGGGTAACGGTGGAGAGGTAATGGGTAACGGTGGAGAGGTAATGGGTAACAGTGGAGGCGTGATGGGTAACGGTGGAGAGGTGAGGAGTGACATAGATGGGAGCGAGATAGAGGTGAGAGAGGTGGATGAGAAACAAAACTTACTACCACCATCAACTTACCCCAGCAAGACCTATAACCATTACCCACTTCCTACTTCATGAAGGAGTTGCCGACGCTGTACTTACTTCACCTTCTTCTGTGTAATAATCTTGTCTACAGCGAGTACCTTACCACTTTCCTTATTAAAATATATTACCCCTTTTACCTGACGTTTATGAAATCTACCTGTCCCAATAACTCATCACCACACTACCACCCATATTATTCACAGTTCATTATGCATACCATCCATCTTATTGGTGCTACACGAGTCATTTATTCCATTATCGTTTTATTTATATGTGAATACGAGTAAATTACTTCCATTGTAGTGCACTAAATTATGTTTCCTGTTTATTTTTTTTAGATGGGAAAATTTTCAAAATGATTTCCCCCAGTTTCACAAGAGCGGATATGAGGTACCCTCCCCCCCCCTCCTCCTCCTAGACACCTTCCTTGGTAACCACACCCTAAAGGAACTTGTCGAGTCTGGTAACGATCGGTGGTCAAACTATGCAGGTGGTGGGCCGAGAATCCGAGACACAGAAATGACACACGCACACACAGCACATCTTACGCCGCTGACCATTTAGGACACTCCCTTAGTACACTTATGGGCCAAACTAAATGTGGCTGAGATTGGGGAAAAAAAGATTATGAGGAAATCACCGAGCAAAGTAACAGACAGACAATATTTCCTTTATAATATTGATCACTTGCGGAGCTTTATATTTTTCCTTTAGTTTAAGTATTATTTATTTATTGATATATTTATTAATTTATTATTGAATATTTGGTAAGGATCATCTGTGAATAAAAAAAATACGGGTATATGTTTTCGGGAGATAAGTATGTAAGTAAGTAAATAAGTAAGTAAGCAAATGATTAATTAAGTATGTAAGTAGGTAAATAAGTAGGTAAGTAGGTAAATAAGTAAGTAGGTAAATAAGTAAGTAGGTAAGTAGGTAAATAAGTAAGTAGGTAAGAAATAAGCAAGTAAGCAAGCAAGTTAGTAAAGTTCGGTTGTGGTAGAATGAAGTCACAATCAGCATGGCTCTATGTATTAACACTCCCACTGTGGTCATGAAAAACTCCCAAGAAACCAAGATCCATAATCACCAGCTTTCATATATCTCCTCCTAACCTTAAGCGCTCAACTCCAAAGTCAAATGTATACAATAAAAACAAGTACATCCCCGGCGTTTAATCCAGAGGTCTCTGCCATTATCAGCAATTGACACCTTTGTACTGGTGTCCGCTCCTAAAACCTACCACAACGACGTAGTTATCATCAGCGGGTAATTACAGAGCGACCACACAAACACTAGTCTGGAGCAAGTCTTCAGCTACAGTGAGAACGACTTTTTCTACCGATGATGAACTCAAGTTTTACATTTTCAACTCGTGGGTAAAAACAGATCCTCTACATCATTGTATTTTTTGGCTGTGAGGAAATTTTAATATTACAGTTCTGTTAAATAACCAAAGATATTTATTAAGGGCGAGCACCTCAAACACATCCTGTGGTGAACAGTACAATAAAGGCGTTGGGCAAGGAGTGATAACTCCCTTCATAATTGTTATTTATCAAAATCTATACAGTGAAGAGTCTTCATAATATAGAGTGCAGTGTATATATGTATATATATATATATATATATATATATATATATATATATATATATATATATATATATATATATATATATATATATATATATATATATATATATATAAAACCAAACTTTTAACTGCCGTTAAATTGTTGATGAATATTTCCTCGAATTGCTGTTATTGAATATAAACCTCTGATATTAAGGAAAATTATATGTAAATAACTGTAGCCAACATGTTGTGAAGGTGCTTCAGTACCCCTTGACAATGATGAGGGTGAAGATAGCACCTACTGCACACCATCATTATATAAATATATTCTTAAGACACTTACTCCAAGGTGAAACTGCTTAATGCCCACCTCTAAGAACCTTTACCTGTGAACTTGAGACCTCAACAATAAATGATGGAATAAGTAGAGTGTAAAAAATTGCCCCAAGTACATCCTTGGTGTACTGAGAGCAGTGCGGCGCCGAGAGTAATGCGCACACCTTCAGAGCAGCCAACTATTACGATTCACCACTGTTGCCAGGAGCCAGCCATCTGTTTAAAACCTTTCCCAGTTTTTTTCACACATTTAACTGCTAACTATTTCCATTTCCAGCGTTAATGCCTCATGCATTTCTTATCCCTAAAATGTGTTGTGGTATAATGCAACCTGCCAGAAAGAGAGAGTGAGGAAAAAAGTTAGTTCGCAGGGTGAGTAATGATCTTGGTGGTAGGAAACGAGACCTAGCGAGGAAGTTGCTGTCACTTAGGAGTTGCTCTTTAAAGGTGATTTATCGCTCGATGATGTTGACTTTGCTCTCCATGATCACCACGTAACATGTGATTTTGCACCAGAGCAAGTTAGTCGTGATGGGGAGCAAGC